TATGGAAAGAGTTGAAAGAAAATCCAGTACAATTAAAAAATAAAAATATATATCAAAACAGCTACAGCAAGTATTAAAAAAAAAAAAAAAAAAAAATAGAAAAAATACATTCCGAAAACAAGTCATGAAAATATATTCCACAATTAGCAAAAGAAACAAGTTTATATTAGACAATACCAGTAATACAATACAAGTAATACAAGTTTATAAAGTATTTTAAGTTAAATGGTATCATTTTTTTCCCTCTAAGCCGTGTAGAAGAAAAGATAGAATAAGCAATCATTGAGAAAAAAAAAAAATGAAATTCATCAACAAAAAAAGAAATAAAATTTAGTCGCCCCCCTCTTCATCCTTTTCTGACATCCTTAATTCTTTCCATTATATGATTTCACCAGGGATGAGTTTAGAGACTATGGCAACACGGTGCGGTGCGGTGCTAGTATTTAATGCTGAAGTGCCTTTAAAAAAAGGCCACATCCACAATAATTTTTGCCTTCAATTTAAGAGAAAAAAGTTTTAAGCACAAAAAATATTATTTCAATCTTACAACATTTATGTCTACCGAAATGAAATGATCATCATATATATATATATATATATATATATATATATATATATATATATATATATACACACACACACACTATAATACATTTCATTTTAAAAACACCAATATTTAATTAGACTGGTCCCCTGTTTGCAATATAAATACAATGTCAAAAAGTCAGGGATCAGTTTGACATTGTATTTATATTGTAAACAGGACCCCCCCCATCTAAAATAATAGAAAATTAATGTTTTTCAATCCAGACAAATTGCCTGCGTAGAGGAAGTTCTTCAGAATGCTTCATAACAAAAATTAGCTGTGAAAATATTTTTATCAATAAGAAATTACTAATTAATATTCATGTCAGGAAGTTAAATGATTAGGCAATACCAGTAAGAATATCAGCTTACACATTTCCTCTTCCAATGGATAAGAGGTTCATTTAAATGTTTAAAACATTGATTGGTTCTTTGGTATTTTTTTCCAGCCAGAATATATACAATCCCTTTTATACAAGAAATATGGCATATTACTTTCTTTAGGGTATTTATTTTCTAATGACATGGTATATGAAAGGGGTGACCAAACTTGATTAAGTGCTGCATACAATAAAGTTCAGATGTTTGAGAGCCACAAGACATGAACAAAATTTACACATAGGCTTTTGTTACGCATACATAAACATTAAAGTTAGGTTTTACTTTTAATCCAATTATGTCTCGATTCATACCCAGTAAATAATTATAAAGCTTGAAATTTTTCTTATTTACATTTTATATTATCTGTGATTAAAAAACAAACAAACAAAGGAGCTAAGTCAACAAGCCGCATATTAAAGGTCAAAGAGTCGCATGTGGCTCGCAAGCTGCAATTTGGCCACCCCTGGTATATAATATGATAGGCTTATGGCCAGTGGCATAGCTAGAGTGTGTGCCACCCGGGGAAGTGCATGTGTTTGCCCCCACCCCCATCTCAGCCCCCACAAAAAAATACATATTTCACAGTGATGCACTAGTTATACAACTAGTTTGTGTACCATTACAATATCACTTTCACATAGTCAAATATGGTATGCTTTAAATACACATAAAATATGGTATGCTTTAAATACACATAAAATATGGTATGCTTTAAATACACATAAAATATGGTATGATTTAAATACACATAAAATATGGTATGATTTAAATACACATAAAATATACTTAAACTTTGTTAGCAACAGTTAAAAAGCAAAATGACATACATGGAAAGGGTGTAAAAAAATTACAACCAGCTTTATTTCCGAAATGAAAATAACAACATTCTACAAAGTAACTTTTTGTTGCTTTTTTTGTTGGCAAATTCTTCAACATCATCAAAAAACTATACAATCTGTCAATTGTCCCTCTATAGAGAGTAAATAAGCCAATATATATGTTACTTGAAATTGAAAAAAAAATTTCACCTGTGAGTACTGTCCCAACATTAAAACCACTTATTTCCATATAGTCAATACAGGCTTATAGCCTACAGCAGACATAAACATGCCACCCCCATAAAAGTGCTGCCCAGGGCAGGTGCCCCCACCCTATACCTACACCAATGCTTATAGCCATATCATGTTCAAACAAAGATTCTTATATACAATCATTGAAGTTAAACAACATCAAGCTTGGTCACAACCTAAATGTCTTTTCCAATGACATTAATACAAAAGTGAACATAGCCGTCTAACCCAGAATTTGGACTCAGCTTGCTGATTTTGCTTTCCACATCAATATGCATCACACTATCTGCACACCTTTCTGGGACATACTTAATATTAAATTATGCAAAAACCCAACAGTTGAAAATTTGAGATTTGGAAAACTCAAACCATCACAAATTTGAGTTGTGTCAGCAACAATCAACCCACTTGCCAACATTTTATATGCCTGTAGCCACAGATTGGCTGATTCATTAATAGCTGAGCTTCATTCTTATGCAAATTATCACAATGACTGCCATGCAAATTTAGCATGAGTGACATTGGCATTGGTTGAGTAGCCATCTAGGTTGAGAGACTGTTGTCTCCGAAAAGCCAATTATTCAAGAGAACACAACTCTTACCTACATCAAACGCATTATTTACACTATTTACATAGTTCGGACTGTTGTCTTTATTACTATATTCACAACATTTTGACCATTGTATGCTCAGGCCTTCTCCAGGTGATATACATTGGAATTTCAAACCAAAACCTTTATTTAGTCCATGGGGGTAGATTGTTCTAATTCCACATGCCCCCCCCAAAAAATAAAAATAATAATAATAATAAAGGCATGGCATGTGAAATTAGAACAATCTACAAAATATATTTAAATAAAAGGTTCAGTTCGAAATTCCAACATATATTACATGAAGAACGCTGAAGCGTAGAAAACGTTGTCACTATGGCAATAAAGATGAGGACAACAGTTTGAACAATGTAAACAGTGTTAACAGTTACAATACCTCATCTGAGAAATATGAATAGATACCAAACACATTCTAGCCAAGGTCTTTTTCATGTTGGGCTAATTCTCTTCCACATCGATATCAATTATGCTACCCACAAATCCTTCTGTGATATAATTACATATTTAATGTTGTAAGGTCGACAATTTCTCACACGGTTTTAGCTTCACTGATTCTTATAACAGAGACCTTTCTGAAATCGTAACTATTTGACTGCAGACTGATGAAGAGGAATTAATGAGAACATTCTATCTCAATATATATTTGATGACTTTTGGTAAAAAAAAGAGCTAAAAGAGAAACAAACTAGAAAGCATAGATTTATCAGTCTGTGATTGGAGCTGGAGGCATGAAGAAATTGCTTGGCAAAGACAATTCTATAGAAACATGATTTTATTCTTTAGGTCTCTGCCATTTGTTTCAGGCTTTTATTCAGATGGAAACTTTGTGTCTACTTCATTTTCTATGTTGAGAAACAGAAAAAAAAATTCTTGATTGTGTTATCTTTATTCAATTCAATGAAGACAGAACAATCATTTACAATCAGACTAATATCTTCATTTTTGTTGTTATTATCTCAATGTTTAATTGTCCCATTTCTTCCCAAAGATTCAAATTTCTTTCTGAATTTATGCAATGAGGAGTTACATTACAGTAAGACTAATATCTTCATCTTTGTTACATCTTTCTGCCCTCCAAGCCTTCTTCAAAGGTCTGTTGACCCCTGAAGAAAGCCAAACAGCACAACAACCAAAATAGGATAACAACAACAAAAATGAGGATATTAGTCTGACTAAATTATAGATTTAAATTTTTTTCATTTATTTATAAGACTGATGTTTTTCTTTTGTCATCAGACATGTGTAAAATATATATGACCGAAACGTTTGGAGACTACTTCATTAGTAAAGTATTAACTTTCTGAATAGTGCTCAGTTTTACAAAGCAATTCTCAGTTATCAAGTAATACAATATCTACTATATAAGAACGTGTGTCTGTGCTTAGATTTCTTCTCTATAATACCAAAAACAATTTCAAGCAAACTTTACAACATAAATGGCGTATTATAAAAATTTCATAAATGTAAATATCCTTGAAAACCAGATTTGTCTACTTTTATGTGCTATGTCCCTTCAGGATGATCATGACTCTCCACAATTTCCTCTCCTTTGTAGCTCTTAATAAATTCTGTCTTTTTGTTATGTTCCTAAAATTTGTTCCACCATTAGTTTACTCAAGCTCACTAGGTAGATTATGCCCATCCCTCTTACTTTCACTCTGTCCTGTGAGTATCAAATTTTCCAAGCCCTCTTTCTTCATTATGTGACCTAAAAATTTCAACTCTCTCTTCCTGATGTTAAGTGTCCTTTTTGTTTCTATTTTCTATAAAACTTTCTCATTGCTCATGTGTTCAATTCACGGTGTTCGCAATAAGGAGTGAATTATTAAAAACTTCTAGAATTAACTTGCTACTCTGCACTCTTCCACAGACACTTAAACAAAGCACTGGTTTATAATCTCTGACTGCGGTTACGCCGGATGAGCATAAATGATAAGTATAAATATGGCAGAAATAGATTCTCTTAAAGAACACATTCTTACCAAACTTGACTAATTAAGCAGCTGCAATACACAGGCAACAGTAAGAATTTTTTTCTCGTACTAAAATTCACCAAAAGCAAGGTTCAAGTGCTAAAAAGGTCAAAATGATTGTTTTTGTTTAGCTGCATATCAACACCTCTATGGGTTATTTAATGCCGAAAACAAAATATTTTGGATACAATTTCATTTTTTTTTTTTTGAGATAATAATGGTTTTAGTGATACAAATCTTACTAATTAACCCATAGCTGGAGGGGAGAAGAGGTGGATTCATATTTTTCTGAAGGGTATTTTTGTGTAAGTGAATCTAACAAACCCAACTGGAATTGAAACTCAACTTTCTCATTACACCACCCACACATCCAAGGTTAAGGCACCTGATATTCCCAAGCAGTCACCCATCTAGGTACTGACCAGGGCCAACAATTTAACTTCAGAGATCGTACGAGAATCAGTGTTTCAACATGATGAGGCCATAAGGTTTTTCCATACTAAAATTTGGCCAATACAAAACTCAAGAGCCAGTCAAGATAGAGTGTTACTATCAAAACAGTAATGATGAATAAGGTATGTGTGATATAAATGAAAGAGGTAGTGATTGAAAATGAAGATTATGAGGATAAGGAGGATAGATAATTAACCCTTAACTTAAAGTGGTTAAGATTGTAGTGTTCAGGAAAGCACTCACACTGGAGTATGTTCCATAAAGTGGAAGTTCTTGGGTGAGAAACGTTTGTAAGAATAAATTTCCACTCAGACAGCTTCTCCTCCGCAAGAAAAACTGTAAAAATTGAATACTACATCTAGTATTGTACTGCGTTCCTAGAATAGGTTATGACTTTTATTTTGAAGCAAAATAACATTTTGGAGAAACTATTTCTATTTTCCCCCCCATCGATTTTATATGTGTTTTTTTTTTTTTTTTTAATAACTGATTTTCTTCTTGTTACATATTCCTTTTTTTTAGGAGGAACAGTGAAATAATGAATAGCAGCTCAGATTGAGGAATCGGAAAACTGAGTTCAAATTCTGGTCAAATTCATTGCATTCACTTACATGCTAATATCCTTGGGAAAGGCATGAATCCATCTCTTCCCCCCCAGCTATGGGTAAACAGCAGGACAGATTGGGCCTTATAGCATTGGTAAACAACCCATCTAGGAGAAAGAAAACCAGCCTTGAGAAATCCAACCACCTTCTGTCTTATAGGTCCTGCTTCTTTGGTTTGGTTTGGTATGTTTTACGGCATATCAACCTCAATGGGTTATTTAATGCCGACAAAGTTTTTATTGCTGGTAATATTTTGTTTTGTCAAAAATCTATTTCTGGTAATAATTTTTTCAAAAATGTATTGTTGATAATATTTCTTTTCCTCAAAAATGTATTGCTGGTAATATTTTTTTTTTTTTTTACAAAATATTCCTGGTATTAAAACCCATTTTTACCCCAGTTTCAGGGTTAACTATTTGCCCATAGCTGGGACCCTAACAGGTGCTACCACCCCAGGTCAGGGTAGACCTGGGAACACCAGCAATTAAGAGGTGGTTCCACGCTCCTTAAAACATCCTGATCAGAGGCCTTGCTGTTGGACATAGTTTATCGTCTTACCCAGGACGCGGATGTAGTTTATCATCATACCCAGGACGCCCTGCTTCTTTGGGTAAAGGCTAGAAGAATATAACTTCCAAAACAAATCCATCTTACATATCGTCTCAAAGAAAGAAACTGCCCCCCCATACATACTTCAAGCCATGACAGAAAATAATGAACTCCTTGGACCTAGTAAAATGGTTCAAAGAAACACAAGACTGGGACACAGTACATTGCCGTAGACCTCTCTGATTTCAGACCATTCATTCATGGGTGTATCACCTACAACACTTTAGACAACAATTCCTTTTGAAAGTTTAATGGCTTTTATTCTCTCTTTTCACAAGTCACATCTTAATGTCTTCCCTAGTGCCAGCCTTTTACACACACACACACACACACACACACACACAGTGATTTCATACATAAGTACTTTATATATCATTTGCATTTAAGCATACCTTCACAGCTACCTAACAATAAAATCTAACCTGAAACAAAGCAAGCAGCTTTTCATCAAAGTGTCGGATTAATCTATTGTATAAGATAAAACATAGTATGATTTTGTATACTGTCATGCAGCCAGACCTTGCCTGCTTATTATTGAGATTTTCTATTGTTATGGTAATGAGAGCCATTCCTTGAAGCCAATATTCAACTATCTCATTAATAAATAAAGGCCATCAGGTTGTTTTATCTAACCGTTTCTTTTTTAACATTCTTTGTTTTAGGTTAGCTTTTTCTTTGGATATTCTTTTAGGCTAGATTATTATTATACGTTTTTATACCACCTGATTTTTTACATTTTTTTTTTTACTTTTAATGATTTTAAAAGCAGAATTCCTTCTTACATGCAACAATAGCATTGTTATAGATAAAAAAAAAATCATAGAATATACAAGCAGAAAATATCATCAATGCCATTGCAGAAGAGGCCCAGGCAACCCACAAGTCAAGACAGGGCACAGGGGTTTGGCCAATGTTCATGTCAAGAGACACATATAAACTTGGGTGTAATAAGAAAACCAGTTTAGGAAATTATAGTAACTGATATGTATAAAAAAATAAAATAATTATAAAAATGAAGTCAACTTTGATTCATAGGGGCTAACAGAAGTTTTGAAAAAAAAGAAAATTAGTTTTTTTCATTGATTTGTTTTTGACAGCTTATCAACCTTTTACAGGTTATTTAAAGCTAGAAAATATTTTTAAATTTTAAGAATTTTTAAAAAAATAATAATGAGTTACTGATAAGATTTACTAATTAATCCATAACAGGGGGATGCATTAGTACTTTCATTTTTTTGTTGGTTGTTTTTCAGTATTATATTTACAAGTATTGAAGATATGTTTTGTTCTTCAAAATAAGTTTCAAACATTTCTTCATTGTCTTTTAGATCAAAGGCTAATTTAATTTTGTTTATTATTTCTTTACAAAATTTTGAAAATCAAGTTTGCAATTTTGAAGTATGCCGACAATATTATGAAATATGGTAGTTAATTTTTATTTTTTTATTCTTAGAGAATAATCTTGTAAATAAACAAAGTCAATTAAAAGTTTTTCTGTTTGTTTTTTTTTTTTTGACAAAAATGACCAAAACTTATGCACTGTGTCTCCAATCCTTGAGATATACTTGCAGATAGCATCATAATCCATAGACAAGCCAAATAACGGTAAACAAAGTGTTTGCTTACCTAGGCCTTCACCTAAACCAAGGAGCACTCTGGATATAATAAGGGCATTGATGGAATCAGCAAAAAATGGCACCATTAAGGTGGACAGAGACCATAAGATGACCGCCATAGTCAGTACAGATTTCCCACCATATTTCCGGGCTGCACTCCCACCAATAACCTACAGAAAAAAAAAAAAAAAAAACATTTTATCAAATATGCATGTTTCTTCATATTACAAAGGTTTTTCTTTTTAATTAAAAAAAGAGTAGAAAATACTGTACATTGCAATTTTTATTAATATTTCTTGGATTTTATTCAGGTTTCATTGCAATCTCCAGATTATTGTTCAATATGTTTTAATTGTTGAACTCATAAAACATTATGTAAACATTTTTGGTTATTAAATGTTTTATGTAATATTTAACAAAATTCTTTTGAATTCTATAAAATGAGATCTCGAAGGATCTTACCAACAGTATTTATATTTTTATCATACCAAATTTATATTCTTATCATACCAAATACTTGGCTTTTCAAAGAGCTTGGAAAATCGTTTTGAGAAAATGAAAAGGACAGACTTGATAAATCTATAAATATAACATTTTTTAGCATGTCTTTTCTTCATGATATTGTCACTGTTTATTACAACCTTCAAGATGAAATACTTGCCAACTATACAAATATAAGACTATTAGTAGATGATAATAAAAAAACAATATTGCATGTAAATTGGCCATGGCATTGTCCATATTAAAAGAGTATCATTTAATATGGTATACAAGTTCAAGTCACATCAAAAGCTAATACTTTGTTTTTATTTCCAACTTCTTTAATAGTTGAATGTGTATTCAATGTAGAAATTCATAATCAAAAGCAACAAGAAGGAAAATTTGTTTTATATCAAACAAAATAGAACATTAAAATTAATACTTGTTACAAGTAAATTCCATGGGTATTGACAATTAAAACTCCTCATTACCATTGAATATATACTATTACAATTAAAATAAGGTTACAACATATTTATTAAACATACACAAATAAATTTAATGACCCAAATATATAAAATTAATAAGGATAGAATGAAAAAAAAAAGAAAGAAAAAAGAATTTGGGAAGTATCAAGAATGAAAAAGAAAAAAGTTGGAAAGTAAGAAAAATAAAAAACAAAAACACTTGGGAAATATTGAAAACAAAAAAAAAAGACTTTGGAAATATCGAGATCGAGAACAAAAACAAAAAAAAGCTGTGAAGTATGAAGAAGAAGAAGAAAAATGTGTTGACAAATATCAGGGACAAAATAAAAAGAGTTGGGAAGCATGAAAAACAAAAAAAAAAATGGGGGGGATATATTAAGGAGATATTAAGATATAAAATCACTTAGATATTTTGATGACAGTCACTTTTGTCATATCAATGGTTGTAAAGTCCTATTCTATTAATAACATGTTTTAGTTCAGTGGCCACACTATAATAAAAAAAAAAAAAAAAAATAAGTATAAAATTAAACAAATCCTGCTATGATTCCAATGAACCAACTGGAGATCATCAGGCAAAAGATGTATCCATTAGGCCAATGTTCTGCTCTCTCAATAAAGGATCAAATGACATGTATGTATATAAATTATACAAATATATAAATATAAAAGTATTGCAATAATTGTGGATGACATTTTAAAAAGCATGCATTCCAAAAGCTAAGCAAAGTAGTGAGAAATAGAAAAATTATATTAAAAACAAAGAGTGTTGGATTGTTATGCGATATCCGTTCTCTTATATGGCAGTGAATGCTGGACAATCTGCACATGGATGTTGAGAAAACTGGAGGCAACAGAAATGGAGTTCTACAGAAGGATACTGAGAATTCCATGGCTGGAGCAAGTTGTGGCACCTTGCATTATTAGAAATATTCATAGAAATATGATTTAATTTTTTCTTACTCGGTTTACTAAACAGGTTGTTGATTTTTTTTTTTAAAACGGAAAATAATTGAGTTGAAAATAATTCACTAAGATTGTACTTAGACGATCCTAAGGGAAGAAGAGGAAAAAAAAAAGAAAGAGAGTTGGATGATGCATGACCCAGTCATAAGCGAAGATAAGTGTCAGAAAGATATCTTGGCCTGCGTGTGGCGAATTTTTAAAAGACAATTGGAAGAATAGAATTAGAAATAATAAGAAGAAAGAAAGGGAAAAGACATGATATCAAAAACGGGCAACTTGATGAAAACCAGATATCGGTCAAAACATCTGACCTACTTTTGTGTAGAAAGACTCATTATCAATTTGGAGTAAGGGGAAATTTTAGAACAATGAGAGCGAAATCTTAATCAGAGAAAAGGTGTTTTTTGGGTTGAGGGGAGTGACGGTGGAACTATATACAGGTCCTGACCTATTAAGAATTAGAAACCTCGATAATAAAGTGGGAACATTTTCAATGTAGATAATTAAGATTTTCTGACTGTCGGGTCTGACAAAAACAAGAGGTGAAAAAAAAACGATTGTCTCAGTTCACAGATAGCGCCAATATTCTTCCCTGAAGTCACATCTAATTAGCGGGGGCTGGTTGACAGAGCCCAGGTGAGAAAAGCCAAGATTGTCATTTTTCGTGCGTGCAGAAAAAGGCAAAATTGGATTTTGTTTTTTAAAAACAAGAACGATGTAACCCCGCCCGAAAGGAGGAGAAAGGATGCTCGATCAATAACAATTGGTCGGAAACGGTCACGTGATCTGCAGAAAGAAGAGAAAGAAATGCCCGATCAGGAACCATTGGTCGAAAAACGGTCACCTGACATACGAGAGACTAAGAGAGATGGGTGCACCTCCCCACAAAGGGCACTGTGAGGAAGTAGGGGTGAAAACAATAGCGATAATGGGAAATCAAAAATAATGCGACTTTTGGAATTATCGAAAACCCTGACGCCGGCAGACCCACCCCAGTTTGCTGCGGCGTCAATAAAAAGCAGGACCCCAGTCGACAGAAATCAGTTGGAGTGGAGTTGCAGCTGGACCGCTGGCAGGGGATAGAGCCTGAACGCGGCATCAGGCCCGATTCACTGGCCCCTTTGCGGGCAAAAGAATCCTCAGACAAGAAATCCTTCCAGCCCAAGTCGAAGACAGAAGAGTTCAGCCCCGACGGCAGCGAGAAGAGACCACCTCGGACGACAGAGAGTTGCGGCTGAGTTGCGGCAAGAAATCCTTCCAGCCCAAGTCGAAGACAAGAGAACTTCCAGCCCAAGCAGACGAAGAAGAAGATTACTCCGAAAAGCCGCAGAGAAGTTGCAGCCAAGTCGAAGACAAGAGAAGTTGCAGCCAAGTCGAAGACAAGAGAAGTTGCAGCCAAGTCGAAGACAAGAGAAGTTCTATCTTAGTCGACGAAGAAGAAGAAATACAACTCAAGTCAAGAGAAGAATCAACTGCGAATGATCGATAGAAATTAGCCCCAGTGTCGAACTAAACCACACTCCGACATATACAATTCTAAAGAGTAGGCAATTGAAATCTTTTAGGTTGTGTGATAGAAGCTTGGTGCCATAGTCCACAGAGCGGGTCGGGAAATAAGAACAATTTTTCTTTATGTAACGGACATTAGATATAAAAAAAGGTTGTCACCCTTTTTTTATCAGTAATTTTTGTCTCGTGAGTTTTTTTTTTTTTTTTACTTGTGTTTTGCCACCCCGTCGGACTCAACTTGTATCGGCCCCAATCCCTGCTGGTCCCGTCTGTCTAAGATCTAAACACAGCGTGGGTAGACAGACCGAGATCAGTACAGTTGCTTCAGTAACCAGGTATTGGAAGCGAGTTGGGAAAGGCGAGGTTGGTGATCATCCAACCAAGGGGTTGGAGCGGCACGCTTGGAACCAGGAGGAGCGACATCACAGTTGGTGCCGTAACCAAGGGATTCGACCCTGGGCCAGGTGTGTAACCGTCACAAAGTTAACAACAAGGAAGTCTTAAAGAAAATAGCAGCAAAAAGAAGGCTTATACTCAGAATCAGAAAGAGACTGTTAAAATTCCTTGGACACATAATGAGAAAAAAGGACATGGAAAACTTCACATTCACATGGGTATATTAAGAGCAAGAGAGTGAGGGGGGAAGTCAATGAGCCACCTACCTGATGAGTTTGTGAGAATGGATGACAGAATAGAGGTGCGTTAACAAAGGGAAAAAAATTGCTAAGGGTCAAAAGAAATAAGAAGTTTTGGTTTGGTTTGGTTTGGTTTGGTTTGGTGTGTTTTACGGCATATCAACCTCAATGGGTTATTTAATGCCGACAACATTTTTTTCCTGGTAATATTTTGTTTTGTCAAAAATCTATTTCTGGTAATATTTTTTTCCTCAAAAATGTATAGCTGGTAATATCATTTTAAAACATGTATTGCTGGTAATATTTTCTTTCAAAAATATATTGCTGGTAATAGTTTTTTTTTTTTTTTCTTCAAAAATTTATTTCTGTTAACAATTCATTTACAAAGTATCTCTGGTATTAAACCCATTTTTACACTTTTATAATGCTTTTTATGTCAGTTTCAGGGTTAGCTATTTACCCATAGCTGGGACCCTAACAGGTGCTACCACCCCAGGTCAGGGTAGACCTGGGAACACCAGCAATTAAGAGGTGGTTCCACGCTCCTCAAAACCTTCTGATCAGAGGCCTTGCTGTTGGACGTAGTTTATCGTCTTACCCAGGATGGAGAAGTTTTGGAGAGTCATGATTGCCCACGTCCTGAAGGGACATGGCACCTAGAAGAAGAAGAAACCTGAATCCTTGTTCTCTTCAGGGCTATATATATGATTAAATTGGGTGATTTTACATGCCAACCTTTGTTGGGTTATTATCATGTTGAAATGGGCCGTTTTTTGCATTTGACCCTATGAACATTCCCTTTGTTGAGGGATAGGTAAATTTTGGTTAATTATCTTTGAATCAAGAAACATTTACTGTATATATGCAAGTATAGTGCAAGTTTTTATGATCAAGTTTTTATTCAAACAATGGGAGGTCACACTAAACAGAAGTAATATTTTCAAAGAGGTTAAAACTAATGCTCTTTGGTGGCTGTTTGCACTTATAGACAGGTCATTTTTTTCTGTATTAGTTAAAATTCATGCAAAAACATTCAGGAGTCACACTATACATGAATCAGCTCATACACAAGTATATATGGTACTTGGTAGT